GCCCTACTATGTACTCGAATTGTCTGTGCGGTTAAAGCATTCGTAATGGCGCGGCATTTTCAATGCGCATCGGTTTTTCTGCTTTTTTTTATTACGGTTGAACAAGCAGAGAAATAATAAACAATTCTGAATCTTTTCACTTGAAGTTTCTCGCAACTAGTTTACTGAAACTATGAGTTATTTGCTTGATCATATCGCTTAAACATTCATCTATGTCCCCAATTTGTAGAGCTTATAAAATGCGACAAAAAGTCGAATGCTTTGGAAATCTTGTACGATGTAATGCGCCTTCGAAGGGCAAAACAATGGCAGAAAGTGCTAGAGGATTTAATGATGCTTTTCGTCGATCTTTGCGTGGAGCTCCGAAAGAATGTGCACTTTCGAAAGGCTATCTATCAGTACAAAAACATCAGTGTTATGGTGAGTGAAATTTTATGCTTCTCACTGTGCAGGAGAATACAGCTTCTTTGGAGGCAGTTATACGTTACTATCTGAATTCAATCAAGACCCGAACAGAAGAAGCTCAGAAGGAGTCCAAAAGTGTTCTCATGGACGTTGAAGATTTGGATATCCTAGAAACTCCCGAAAGGTAATTTCACTAATGCCCATAACGATATGGTTTAGCCTCATGCTGAATGCTGTGAGTTTCGAAGGGTCTCAAGACCGGTCTGCACGGACCATTTTGATGCCTTGGTTGAAATTTTTGTGGGATTCGTACAGACTGATTCTAGACTTGCTCCGAAGTAATGCAAAACTGGAACATCTTTATCATGAAATAGCTAATGATGGTAAGCGATGCATTTTCGAGTGACCTTTGCAGCCTATGAGTTTTGCATTAAATACGGACGGCGGGCTGAATTCCGTAAACTCAGTGAGCTGGTAAGCTTGATGATCATTAATTAACTGGAATCCAGCTGCGTCTTCATACACAAAAAGTTCAAAATCAGCAGCTTCCTGCTGCTCCGAACGCAATCAATTTGAACAACCCGGAAACCCAAGTTCTTCATTTCCAAACCCGTCTTCGGCAACTGGATTGTGCTATGGAACTTGAGATGTATAATGTAAGTACAGCATTATAACTCACCCAAACCTCCGTAGGAAGCATATAGAACGATTGAAGATATCTGGGCATTTAACATGAATCTCAAGAAAGTTACCAGTGCGGTACTTCTTACAAACTATTACTCGAAGTCTGCTGAACTGTTTCTACGCTGTGGATGCTATTTGTATCACGCTGCTGCGCTCCAAAAGCTCATGTTCTTATATCGTGATCACAAAAAAACGTTAACTCTCGAAGAGCTTTCAAGCATTGGTTCCCGAGTTTTATGCGCCACCCTGGCCATTCCTCTTCCGAATGCAAAAATGAATTCTGACAAGTTCCTACTTTCGGGCGAGTATACTCAAGCTAAGCAAAAAACACTTGCTGGTTTACTGAGTAAGTTGCTCATAATATTCATCGCTGGTGTCAGACTTGCTTCAGGTTCCCACTCGTCAAAGTCTCATTCACGACATCGTTCGACATAAAGTGCCTTCGTTGGTACCACAAGAACTGGCTGATTTGTACACCGTTCTAGAAGCAGATTTTCAACCAATGACACTATGGGAACGTTCACAACCCGCTTTACGCATTATGGCCGCATCACCGGAGCTGAGCGTATATATACCTCAGCTCCATGAAGTGTTGGTTTCTAAAGTGGTTCTTCAGCTATCGCAAGTCTATCGGACCATTCGATTAAACGAACTAGTCAAGTTGTGTCCTTTCATGGATCCAATTTCGTTGGAACGCAGTGTTATCGAGTTGATTCATAATCTTGAGCTTCCTATACGCATCAATCACAGGTTGCAAGCCCTGGTCTTTGACGAATTCACTGATCTGGGAATAAGCCAGTGTGATTACGGTGGACAGCTTGTCTCTCAGGTGAGTAACTTTTCCGCTGCATCTGTGTGGCATACTAGATTTATTTGTTTTGACAGTTTCACCTAGTGCCAATTTACACAGTTATGTGATATATTGCTATGGTAATGTTGTAGTTGTGCACGTCAGAGGTTGAAGTTGTATATTTAATAATTTTTTTATTACACACGTGATGAACAGTAGACGGGGTGAACCCTAAAGTCCAAAGGACCTGCTGTTCAGTGGTGGAAACCGGCAACCTATGCCCCGGGACTTATAGTGGCAAACCACGTAAAGCCCCGATAGGTTAGGCGTGGTATTGAACGGAACAACACCAGAGCTACCTACCACCGTAGTCGGGTGGCGGTGGCAGGGCTGGGGTCGTCGGATCCATAGAGTGTTGGTGGTACAAATGTATCAAATGTATGTCTCAGCAGCTGTCACATTTGAGGTCCAAGAGGAAAAAGTTGAGAAGTGGTCAATGTTATGCCGTATTTAGCGGCGGTCTCCAGAAATCGTTCGAGATCCCGGTCGTGGTCTTCTATAGTCATACCACACGCGGTAACGTTGTCGACGTAGACGAAAGTATCTTTTAGGCCTTCGGTCGCTAGAATTTCATCAATGGTGCGGTGGAAACACGCAATGCCATTGGTATTGTCGAAGGGTATTCGGCAGATCGGGTATAGCCGGCCGCCTGCTTCAAATACGATATATGGTCTCTCGTGATGTGCGATTGAAATCTAATGATATGCACTTTTCATACTCAGTCTACTGTATTCAGCGTAGCGGGAAGTTTGTTCAACCATTTTGTCAATTCTGGGTAGCGGATAGGCATCTAGCTGTGTGAAGCGGTTGATCGTCTGACTAATCCACGATCATCCTCTTCTTATGATTCGAGTTTCTGGTCACAAGGACTTGGGCTCTCCAGGGGGAATTAGATGGCTCAATGATATCGTCCACCACGAGGCGCTGTATTTCTGCTTGGATAAAAAGATCATCCTCTAGAATGTCTTCCAGATTTGGTAACGATGGGTTTACAATTTGGAGTGAGGTGCGCAAACAACATTGGTGACTGAATTTTAGCAGCGGCGAGTCCGCACAACATGAAAGTACCCCGATCACCACTGAATGGTATTTCCACCTTTTCGTGTAGACCGAGAAGGACGTCAACGCACAGGTTACGCATTACAGAAAGTCTAAGGTTATTGTATTGAGCTCCACGGTAACGAATTGTTACGGTACAGTAACCGGTTGCATCACACGAAAGGGATGTGGATGCCATGGTAATTCGAGAGTCTCGTCGTTGGACCTCAAATCTGTGGGAGTTGACAACTGTCTGGGAGATGTAACAGCCAGTGTCGACTAAGGCGTGAAACTCAATGTCATTGACACAAATCTTAGTTGTAGCGCGCGATAAGCAGGTGGGAGCCGAGGCCGTTGAAGCGGAAGATAGAAGGGATCCAATGGCCGAAGTAACAGCCCGATTGGTTGATGTCGATCGGCAAACGTTTAAAATGTCCTGTTTTCCCACACTTTGCAAGTAGCGTCTCTGACAGGACACTTTGTTCGTGGATGCTTCGAGTAGCCACAAAAGTAGCACGTTTCTTTGGACGCAACGGATAGTACCGGCTCGAATTCAACCCCTCAGTAGGAACATGAGGTGCAGGCGACGACGTCGAAGCTGATGAGGCACAAGGCGAATTTTCGGAGCCATATGACGGACTGTTGTTAAACAGGTTCAAACGACCTCGCCATGTCGTATGCTCTTTGAAAGTTGAGAGACACTTGCTTTATAAGTCCCGTTCGGATGTTATTGGACAGTAATCCGGTGATAAAGGCATCACGCCTAGCGTCATCACAGTATTCTTCGGCAGATACAGAACGAAAGTTGCAGTCGTTCGAGACTGTTTTGATCTTCTGGACCAACTGATCCACGTTGTGGCCACATTCTGGTTTACAGGTCGCAAGGTGTCGAACGAAAAGTACATTCCTGGGACGTACGTATAAAGATTGAAGTGTAGATATGGTGTCGTCGAAGGTATTACAATCTCATACATGTTCATAGACAGTCGGCGATAAGAAGTTGATCAATATGTCTAGCTTGTCTAGATCTTCAGCCTGGACGCGTTTCAAGAAGGCTTTGAACGTTTTAAGCCAGTAGGTCCACTGTTTCGAGGTGTCAGGAGCGTTCAAATACGTGTCGAATTTTTCAGGACGGATGTAACGGTCCATCGATTAATAGACGAGTAAATTGTTACGGACGACAACAAGCGAGTACGGTCGAGATTAGAGAGAACGCGCAAACCGAACGAATATGCGTTACTTGTCTATTGATATCGGCAAATAGGCTGAAAAATAAAAAGAACGACGTGAGTAACAGCATATGAAAGCAGAACGAATAACAAACAGAACAGTGACTTGAAGATGAGTGCTATGGTATAAATGTGTCTTGCTCGGTTTAAACACCGTTTCGTTCTCAATTACAGTTACTGTTGCTACATTATCCGAAATCCACTGTATCGTCTTTACTATTTTCATCGTTATCTTGCACCTCACCAGTCTACTCACGTGAATGCGCCGGACCGATTGTCTAGACAATTGACTATGTTCGCTCAGGTCATGCAACAGATAACGGAGATGCTGGAGGGCAATCAACAGTTGCCTGATTATCGTCGAGCTCTTGTCAGTGAGTATCAGGCATGTCGCCGTGAGCTTCATATGGAGCTGCTCAATCGGCGCACCTATATCGAGGCGCGCAAGGAACAAGTTGAACACATCCAAGGAGAACGTGACCAGGTAATGAAAAATTGATATTTTTTACGCTTTGTACTGTTTCCTAAATAGTGCCATAGTTGACTCCTGGGCACTTTCGGTCATACAGGCATTCCCTGAATTCAACGGCATCGTAACCATACTGTCAGTGATTTGGGATAAATTAGTTTTCATTGTTTATGCTTGAAATGTTTTCTTTATCAGTAGCAAATGAATTTGCTGTTGTGTTTCATTTCGTACACGCTGCGTCCTGCCTGACATGGAGCCATTTATATCTCATTACCTTCTTGTGGCGTAGGTAAGTAAGAGGACGAAAAGCCAATATCCGCGGCTATAACTGGGTTGGTGGACCACTGGTAGTTCACTGGAGGGAGTTGGCTAATACCCGTGATTCCAAACCAACCAAGAGGAGGCGTACGAACCACACACCTTCCCGGTTGTGGCAGTGGTCACCGGCTCGATTAGGCATCGAGTGTATTGGGCACTTTGNCCGGTTCACAATGGACTGCGGTTTTCACACATCGCCCCACTACCTTGCGGGTCAGGCTTTGCCTGGCGAGGGCTCCGGTTGTGTATTTCTCGAGGAAATTCATCTGCCCTGGCCTAGGCGACCTGGGAGTATTCAGCCAACGCGCAACTCGGGGAACGCTTTTCTTTTTATGAAGATTATTGCACCATGAGTTGTTTGTACGCAGTNATATATAATTGGGGGAACAGTTAGTGATTTATCTTCGTGAACAAACATGCATGCATTCATTCACCTGTCGGTTCATTTCGAAGCAACTCAAAGTCACATTGATGTCTAACTTCGATTGTTTGGTACAGATCTACATGGAAGAGGAAGCACGTCGACAAGCGGAACTGGAACGACGCATGCAAAGCGAAGAGTTGAATTTGCAGAAGGAAGCAGAGGAACGTGAACGTCGTAAGACTGAAGACGAGCAAGCGCGTATTAGACGAAGAATTGCTCTTGGTAATTACAATCTTCTTATGGAGCACAAGATTGGAATCAAGTTGGATTCGAAAGATTTGACCGAAGAACAACTGGATCAGTTCGATGCAGACAAGATTTTGGAGAAGAAGGTAAGTGCGTTTTCTCGAGTATCCAACATGTTTTCTGCCAGTTGATCTCATTGCTTGTTTGTTGAATGTGCTCAAGAGAGGTTTATCCAAGTGAAGTCAAAAATCTCCTTATTCATCCTAATGGATGAATTCTTAGCTCCTTGCACTCCAGGAACATTTATCGTCGCATCAGTCACAAAAAATGAAAAAACAGCATCGTAAATTCAGAGGAATGTGGAGTAAAAGTTTTAAATGAATATCAATTTCGTAGGAAATTTCTCTGACGGATGCCTTTTGAGCCAGAAATCTTGAAAGATGGGGGATGACGGACGAACGATAGACTGGTGCGAACATACACCAGTTTATAACGACATCTTACAGAAGTGGATATACATTGTTTAAGTGCTGTGTGTAATAAGTGTGTGGTGTCTGATAGAATATTATTGCAGAAGTTATCACATGAGGTAAAATGTTTATCGGCGATAAAGTTAAGCAAGTGCAAATAAGGAATACTAATTATGCGACAAATAATTTTAATCGACCGGCGTAGAATTATGTAATTTTTAGCTCTAAGACCGGCAAATAAAACTGGGAAGTAGTAGAGAAGATGAGTAACAACACAAGAATATACAAATCGGGTGAGTAAGTACAGTGGAACTTTCAAAGAACGCAAGCGGGAAATAAGAAAACACAACAGTCGAATCTTTACAAAAGTAGAATCTAAATGTGAAGTCCAAGTGAGATCTTGGCAGGCAGTGACAGCGAGGTATTGTAGAGAATTTACTGAGGGAGCAGGCTGGTTGTTAACATGAAGTGCAGAACAATTCCTTTCAACACATTTGAGGGAGTTAACAAAACAAAAGTTGGGTTTTTATTGACTTCAACGTTACTAACGCCAAGTACAACCAATGCGGTCGTTTCCGGGGTGAATGTTTTCTCTTGGTGTTGCGTGTATGCACAATTCCATTTTGATACTGCTATTTCATTTAGATGTGTCCCCTGGGTTTCGACCCCCCCCCTCCCCCGGGTTTCGACCGTTGTCTATCATCAAATTGCTTATCAACTCCCGTGCCTTTGAAGCAATCATTTTTTTGGTGTGCTTTTTCCTTTAGGCATTGGAAGTCAATAAAAAACGAAAAGAGTTGACGGAAAAAGCAAAGGCGATGGCGAAGAAGTTGGATTATTATACTCGTGCTTGCCGACTGGAAGAGCTACCTCTTTTAATGGCAGCGGTTGAACCGGAAGCAGAGAAATCACGTGAAGAGCACGAACGAAGCATGCGAGAAATTGAAGAACACTCCAAAGCTGAACACGAGAGACAGTTAGCCGAGAAAAACCGGTTAATTCGAATGAAGGCCGATGTTCAGGTCAGTATCTTGTTTTCAAATCTTCCTAATCAATTCCCTTTTTCCACATGCTTTACCGTTTTTGGGTATAACTTTTATCCGTTTATGGCCTCCTAATACCGATATGAAGGTTCGAGCTCGAGATTCGTGTATCCGTTCGTGCCTGTATTTGATGACGTTTTGCACTGAACAATTCCCGATAATTCATGTTTCCAGTTTCCATCCGGTTTACTTCGGAGATCTTCTGTTAGTTAGTTAGGACAAGCCTTGCATAATCTGCTTGACAGTCACACCTATAACCATATGCAAAATCATCATCATCGTACAGCGAAATACGGTGAAGCGAACTTCGCTGATCGCTGCCAAACTCGCACTGCATACAGATTAGTGGTGAAATTTAAGGTGGCCAGGGATTGGATCTATTTTGAGGAAGGGAGTAGAGGGCGAGTCACTATAATCAACGCACGGAGTACGCAATCGAACTTTGCATACATACCGTCTCAAGCATTCTTACTTGATAAAAAACGATAACAAGAACGCCACTGCTGCCGGTTCGCTGCCATATCGTTCAATGTCTTCAACCAACCAGTTGTGGAGTCTTTCGCACCCCAACCTGGAAGGCGAGAGACACCTACTCTACTTAATGGCTCTGTGCATTTCTTCATGCCTCGCTTCCACGTCATCTGTTTACCTCCACGTGGTTTCTTCCAGCCCGGATTAGCCACAGTGAATAAAGAGCGTTTCGGCGGACGATGGCTGGGCATACTCAATACGTGAACTAGTCAGCGAAGCCTAGTAATCTGAATTCGGTGTGCTGACAGACTCCCAAACACGCGACGGCTTACCTCCACGTTACTAATCCGTTCGCTCCATCCAACGTGGGCTAAACTGCGTAAACACCGCTAATCGAAAACTTCTGGTCGATGTTTCAGTTCAGTTTGAACAACCATTAACCACGCATATTGGAGCGCCAGTTTTGGTTGCTGTCTGTTGGTTGCCTATTTGGATGAAGAATAGTAGAAGGAAGGAAAGTTGAAT